GAACATGCATTTTTAAACTATGATGTGCTTCAGTTTATCCTACTTTACAACGGGTATTACTCATTTTTTGTTGTTCTTCTCAGTTGACTGGATTATTTCCCCAGTCTGTCTTTTTGCCACTCTGGATGCCCACATGAGACGACCCAGGGTAATTTCTGACAGCCTCGGACTCCTTGGGAAAACCAGAGGGCACCACAGACCCCGTTTTAGGAGCAACCTCTGTTTCCCTCAGGAACCCCAAGACACATAAGCAGACAGGTCCTTCTCAAAATCTAAAGCTCTGCTCTGTTTTCTATCACATTACCTGATCTTTTTGACTTCTGGGGAAATTACATCAGACATTACTTTAGTAGGCCCGGGCACAGTGGCTCATGCCTGTTATCCAACACTTTGAGAGGCTGAGGCAGGCAGATCACCTGAGGTCAGGAGTTCAAGACCAGTCTGACCTGAACATCATGGATGTAACGTACCAGGTCTCTGACTAGATAAGTACAAAAGTTAGTCTCAGTGCTGCTCATTCCACCCCCACCCCTGCCCCTCTTCTGCTAACCGGTCTTTTCCTCCCGCGCTCCCCCCCCTCTTGGTCGGCACCTGCTTATGGTCTAGATAATTGCCAGAGCTACGTCGGCGCAGAGGCTGAGGCCGCGCACGTCCAGGCGATACGCTTTTGAACTCTCCTCGGCTGAGACGAGGGGGTTATAGTAGGTCGTGTCTTATTTAGCTGATGCTCGCTCTGTACCCTCTCCAGTTGTCTTGTGTCATAGAACGTTGGGAATACTCAGATCTCAAAAAATAAGATCAAAAAAAAAATATGTGAAGACATACTGACTTTAGTTAGTATAGATCGGATGGTAGCAGGCTTGCAAGTACAGATCCCAAGCCCTATGTCGTAGAGCTCAGATTTAAACCTGAAGCAGACAATAAGGCCCTCCGGTTATCATGTAATGTTTATAACTAAACGAGTGCCCAAGTACAGCAATTCCATCCAACTTATATTATACTTATTCATGTTATTGGAAAGTGTTGTATACGGTTCCGACTCTACATGGAGTGTCTGTAAAAACTGAGGACATCGTAAAAATTTGTTTGTTTGTTTGTTTGTTTTCAGACACAGTCTCGCTCTGTCGCCAGGCTGGAGTGCAGTGGCGTGATCTCGGCTCACTGCAACCTCCACCTCCTGGGTTCAAGCAAATCTCCTGCCTCAGCCTGAGACTGAGGCACAGGGCTAGTAGCTGGGACTACAGGCACGTGCCCAGCTGATTTTTGTATTTTTAGTAGAGACGGGGTTTCACTATATTGGTCAGGATGGTCTTGATCTCTTGACCTCGTGATCTGCCCGCCTCAGCCTCCCAAAGTGCTGGTATTACAGGCGTGAGCCAACGTGCCCAGCCGAGCCTTCTGTATTAATCAGATCTCAGAAGAAAGGTAAATTATACAACACTCAAATATACATATTTAAAAGATTATACAGGACTAGAAAATGTGCTTAGTCCAAACTTCTGACGAGCTCAGTGCTCTGGTGACCATCATGGTACCTTCACGACTTCATCTAACCTCAAAATCTCTAATGAACTCCTGAAAATCAGTTACAAACCGCTCATGAGTTTATCTTTGATAAATTTTCTCATATTTTATCTCTTTTTCCAAATAGCATTAGTTCACTGATTCTAAGACCCACATTTTCTCAAATTCGAACACTGCTTCCCTTTTACCTGTGGTTTCCTATTACTGCCATCAACCAGCCACCGCTGTGATGTAGGTAAAACCTGCCTGAGCAGCACGGACTTGGTGGTTATGTTGGCAGCACAGACTAGATCACAAACCATGTGAGGAACACTTAAACAGATACGGGGATTGTGGTTTTCTAAAAACCCTCCATTGACACTTTAGCAGACTGAGAGGGATGAGAGAGAGAGAGTTGGAAAGCAGGTGTCTGTGGCTGGGAGGACTAACCCAGAGTCAGGAACTGGGTATGTGTGCTAGCATCAGGGCACTATTCTGGGAAAACACAGATACTGGCCCTCTGGGTTGAATATTGCAACCATTTATTTCACTTACATGTACATTTCTAGGTATGTACTAGAGTAATACAAATCTGCCTAAATATGTTCAAGAATATTTTCTCTAAATACAAAAAAATTAAGTGACAGGAAAAAATTACGTTAAAGTTTAATTGGCAGCACTTTTTTTTTTATGGTCATCCTGCTTACTCATGGTCTTAAATTTGATGGAATATGGTACATGGATTAAGGAAAGGTTCTTTCCTTGTGATGACTGCACAGACTGTTTTGTTCATCTACTAAAGTGATCTAAGCGAATTAATTGTAAAAGTCATCAACAGAAAGACTGGGAGTTCCCAAAGGGCCTACGTGGACAGATAACGCTGTGCTCAGCACTCAGATCACTGGCGAGTGCCGCTGGGCAACTGCGCAATTCCCTGCAAACACTGAGGACAGGACTTATGTTTATTTCTAATTTGATGAATACTGTACAACACCTACATGCTTCGCTCTGCAAAGAAAAGAATAAGACGTAAGGTTGCCTAAAGATTATTAAAATAGTAAGTAAAATATTACCTAGAAAAAATATTTCAAAAAAGGAAGTGGTCAATGTTAACCAGATTTAAAATCAGGTACAAAGACAAGACATACTGTGTGGAAGTAGTCCACAGCATTTTCAAAGTTGCCCATCAGACTGTGGATATATCCAATAGCAGAGTAGGTGGATGCGTTCTGAGGAATCAACACCAGTGCCTGGCGGTGGTAATCCAAGGCCTCGGCGTACTTTCTGTGGGGGAGAACACAATCACTGGCCACAGTAAAAGCACTAAATCCCTAAGTCTAAGATGAGTCCATCCATATCAACACCCAAGAAACACTATCTCGATAAAAATAGCAGTCTAGACTGATGAATGTCCTCCACACCTACTCTCACGCATCTCAATATGCCCTCTAAATGCATCTTCCAGGCCTGCTCCCTCCTCCGGCCAAGGGCACTCCTGCAGGGATGTCTGCTGTATTCCTTCTGATGTCTAGTGGGACACTGCAACCAGAACCCCAGTCCCTGCCTCCTGGCTGTGTCCTTCCCACACACCCCCCCTTAGGTGACAGTCAGCGTCCCATATCAGGGGTAAATAAAAGCAGCCAAGGTGTATTGCTTTAAGGTCCAAAAGATTTACTTAGAAAAGTGCTCCCCAAAGTTCTCTGGAATACTTGACTTGTAAAGTCTTTTGTGAAAAAAATGTTTTATCCTCAATTAAACTTTGGAAAATACCATAAGCTTGTAATACATAGTAAAGACTCAAAGAAATCCTGCAATAGAAACACTTGTTAAATCTTGAGTAACCTAAAATTGCCCAGACTTATTTAACCAAAAAAACCATTTTTCAACTGTTGCCTGTTTATCACACCACAAAACCTCTAGCAGAAAACAATTAGAATATGGATAGGATTTTAATTATATCTTACTGTCCTAATTCTTCTGAATTAATTTTGAACACTAAATTTTCATATGAAAAAGCAAAAATCTCAATGTTTCTAAAATAAAATTACACCACAGAGATAAATAATAAAAACTGATTTTGATGCTAATTATACCTAAGCAGCCAAGTACAAGAAAGCTAGTGGATCTCATGAAATAAAAATATGACAAAGTATTCAAAATTAAGTAAACTTTGAGTCACAAAGTATATTTCTGAAAATGCTCTACTTCACTTACTTAAGTTTTCTGCAGACATGCCCCAAGTTGTTCAACAAAGGTTCCCATTTGTCAACTGTTACCTAAAACATAGCAACATCAAGCCCACGAGTTATATATGTCACGGTTCAGCCTGATTTGTTTGCACTGAATTATTTCACGCCTTGCAAGCTGGGCTCTCTCCCAGTGTGTGCCTCCAGCACGCCACAAGGCCAGGGTAACTGCTGGTTTATCTATCTCCCTTTCTTCCCTACTAGGAGACTTCTGAGGACTCTGTTATCATTAGGACAAGTTTATCCAAGAGCCAATCCCTGCTGGAGTTCAAATGAGTATCTGCAGCTCAGAGCTTTCCCTCAAACACCAGACCTCTCTATCCATCTGCCCGCTAAATACTTCTGCTTGGAACTGTTACAAGCACTTTAAGTTCGGTGTGCTACGCACCACACCCGTCTCTCCCTGGCCATCCCACCCCTGACCTTACTGCTTCTGAGTGCCCCTCCAGTCAGTGAATGGCACCCCCATCCCCTCTGACCCTTCCAGGAAGCACACCAGGGCTGGTTCCTTCTAATTGCTAAGCATAACTCCAACCTATTTAATCCTCACCTTCCTCACTAACAGAGTCAAATCTGGGCCCCAATCATCAAAGTCTGACCAGATTGTTTCCTTCTTAAATCCCTTTTGTTTTCCCACTCTCCTCAGGATAAGGTACAAACTCTTTCATTCTGGGCCCTTAGTGACCCACACTTAACCCTCCTGACCCACTCCTTAACATTCTCTGTGAACTCAAAATCCAAGTCATACTGCATTAGCTCCAATTTTTGCAAATACTGAAATACCCTTGCCCTAATTTTTGCCTGGCTCATGTGTGATGACTTTCAGGACTGAGGTGTATGCAAAAGGCTCATTTCTGGGTGAACTGCCTTTCTCTGTGGGCACCTTTAGTTCCTCAATTGTACCGTATTTCACCATCAATTTACTTATTTACATTCCCCAGTTGATCTGAGGTCAGGAAATAGTAAACTCATTGCCCGTTGCATCCCAACGCCTAGCTCAGAGCCTAGGACTCATTAAATATATGTCAACTAAATGAATGAACAGACCTGAGCTACAGATTCTGTCTCTACTGAGACCAGTTCTAGGAGGCACAGCCCATGTGAATGAAAAACAAATCATTTAATGACTCTTAGGCATGACTATTTCTCTTTAACATTTTCTGCAGTTTCTAATAAAGTCAATATCTTCCCTCTCTTCATATAGCTTTTTAATGGGCATTTTGACATTTCAATAGTATTGTGCTTTCATACTTCAAACCATTAAATTTCTGTAAGACTCTAAATTTACTGCCTCTTAATTATCAAAGAATACAGGTTCAGTTGAACCTAAAGTATGGTTTAGGAAAGTGCTTCTCAAACTTTTCTGTGCGTGATAATCCCCTGGGGATCTTGCTAAAACTGCAGATTTTGATTCATTTGGTGTGAGATTCTGCACTCCTGGCAGGCTTCTAGGCGATGCTGATGCTGCTAAGCCCGTCTGAAAACTGACAAGGTGGCAAGTGGCAATCCCCATGAACAAAACACTTGGATTATCCAGAACTAACCATGACTATGTGGCAGAGGCACCTGCTTTATATACATGCATGTGCAAACACAGGAATAGTGTTTATAAGTTCAGATAACATGAGAGACCAAAGTAAACAAAGCTGTGTCTATGGGGACAGGCAGATCGCTAGGCAGGAAGGCAAAGCTGTGTCTGTAACAGCAGAGAGAGCTAACAGCCAAGGGAGAAGAAAACTGTGGGCAGGTGTGCACAAACAGGAACAGAAACAGGAACAGCAGGAAGCTGAGAAGTGAAAATCAGAATAGAATGAAACAAAACAGGCACGGATGAAACAGAAGAGCATCATGCAAATCTCTTACCTATGCAAGTTTATGGCATCTAAAATTGTTACTACTTTTAAGTCATATCAGTATATGCACATCCTTGATAATTGTTAGGTTAACTCATAAGCACCAATTCATGGGGTACATCATTCATGCAACAGAAGCAGTCAAATATTTTAAAATGGAAAGGCCCAAATACACACTCAGTATGCAATAACAAACAAAAGGTGTGAATTTCAGTAATACCTATCCCACCCCTATTCTTTCAGAGGTGGGACCTGCCGTTATACTTTATTTACCCTTCAGTCAAAGAAGCTCTCTGAAGTCCTAGAGGAGGAATGTTACATCAGATGCTACAGTGCCCAATAGCTTCCCGAACCAAAGACTATTCCTAGCTTCAAATAATCATCCAATCTGTTCTGATGCCTCTCACATTTCAAAGCTAGAGCCCATTTAAGAAGCAAACGCCCAACATTTGCCCTCTTAATTAGGAAAAAAACCTCATTTCTTACCACGTGGTAAAACAGTTAACTAACAATGCAAACATTAACAGCTGCTTGTTATGAAAATATCAGCTTATTATCTTTGAAGGCAATGAGATTTCCTCATTTAACAGTGAACACTCAGGGGTGTGTATGTGTGTATTTACAGATACAACAAAGAATACCTCGTTCCCAATTGCTTTAATTTTTTCCAAAGCATCAAGAAACCATTTTTCGGCTGTTTTCCATCTAAAATGAACGGAAAAAAGGTTGCAGATTATTCAAAATTACCAAATATAAACTTTTAAAAAACTTTTGATTATCTTTCTAGTAGTACTAAAATGCAATGGGGTAAAATGCTGGAAATAATTATAAAAATTCAAAGTTAAGTCACAAATGATTAATTTTATGGCATTAATATCAAGAGTTCAAGATTTCAAGATTTTGGGAGATGTAGTGTGTGTGTATATATATGTATTTTTTAAGAGTCTCACTCTGTCACCTAGGCTGGAGTGCAGTGGTGCGATCTCAGCTCACTGTAACCTCTGCCTCCCGGGTTCAAGTGATTCTTGTGCCTCAGTCTCCTGACACAGCTGGGACTACAGGCATACAACACCATCCCCAGCTAATTTCTGTATTTTTAGTAGAGACGGTTTCGCCATGTTGCACGTGCTGGTCGGTCTCAAACTCCTGGCCTCAAGCAACATGCCCGTCTCGGCCTCCCAAGTGCTGGGATTACAAGCGCAAGCCACTGCACCCAACCACAGTAGTTATGTTCTATAAAGTCACTGTGCACACTGAGTTAGCAAATATTGAACCGCGGCCCCCAGGGGAATGGTAACATTTTCTCTGATCGATCAATGTGTAACCTTGTTTTATGTGTGTTTCTGTTTAAAGACGTCTTATTTGATACATACTGTTGATTTATCAATATTGAAGTCAGGGCCAGCAGCACTGTAACTGATGCCTGCCTGAATGAGGCTTCTCTAACACATGTGTTTCCTCTGTCAGATACGTCACAATTAACACCAGACAGCATTTCACTAAGCTTGGGGATTATTTCAAAACAGTGAAATTAGCAACAAAAAGCACAAAAATGTGAAAACTGGCACTAAATAGACCACAAAAAGTACACTGGTTTATAGCTGAACTGAGAAAAAAGGCAGAGCGTTGCCTTCTTAGACTCCAGCTGGAAATGTGTGTGCCAGGAGACCCAGCTTTCTCCCAGCCGTGGGCATGTCTGCCAATGGCTAGGAAAGCACCTCAGGAACTGATTTGGTTACAAATAAATTTTAGTGAGTAGGCAAATTTGCAAATACTGATGATTACTGTATTATATTAAAAGCTTCAAGCTTCAAAAAAATACCTAGATAACCCATTTTTTAGAACACATACATGCCATAAATGACACTGCAGTAGTATTAATACTAATTTACGGCCGGGCGTGGAGGCTCACGCCTGTAATCCCAGCACTTTGGGAGGCTGAGGCAGGCGGATCACGAGGTCAGGAGTCGGAGACCAGCCTGACCAACATGGTGAAACCCCGTCTCTACTAAAAATACAAAAATCAACCGGGCGTGGTGACAGGCACCTGTAATCCCAGCTACTCAGGAGGCTGAGGCAGGAGAATCGCTTGAACCCGGGAGACAGAGAATGTAGTGAGCTGAGATTGCGCCACTGCACTCTAGCCTGGGTGACAGAGCGAGACTACATCTCAAAACAAAAACAAAAACAAAAAAAACTAAAACTAATTTACCATTTTAAAATTTGTATATCATGAAATGCAAAGGATTACAGACATTTTTCTCTTTGAGTGTAACACCACTTATTCCACAGGTATCCTAGGGTACAGTAAAGCCTCCACTGACCAGGAGACTCAGAGATTGGGTCATTCTAATTACTTAAATTTTCTGACTTACTAGTAACTAAATAGAAAACACTTTTGTTTCAAAAACCATGTCAAATGTTTCTCAAATACATAAATTCAACTCCTTATCAACATAGAGATAACTAAGGGTTCCACAGTGCCCCCAGCCACACTGTGGGGTCTGTGTGATCTGAACTGTCCAATCATGTAAGAAAACAAGTGGTAGCTCAGGTCAAAAAAGACCAAAACCTGGGTTTAGAATTTTTAAGGAAATCCAACATAACAGATTCTTTTTTCTATCTCCTTCTCCTAAAATAGAACACTTAACAGTACAAATCTACTGAAGAGTCACTTTGGTCAGTTAACTCTAGTAACCGTCTCCTCTATTTACAATCACTAGTTAACAGAAGGGTTTCTAGTCTTCCAGTACTTACTCTCCATTCTGAAATGCAACCACGCCGACCTCATGCATAACAAAAGGGTCTTCCGGTGCAATGCTCAGAGCTTGGCTGAAGAACCTTTCAGCTAGTTTTGAGTTATTGGTCAAACCATATTCTAATCCAATATACAGCATAGGCAAATGACACCTAAAAAATTGGAAAATTTCACATATTCAACACCAAAAACTGTGATTTAGCAGAAATTAATCTGACAACTCCAAATCCTATCTGCAAAATAATTTAAAGGTAGCCAAAACACAGCATTTACTTTTTTCTAACTCTTAATTTACAAATATTTAATGAATGCCTAATGGACTTTGAACTAATCAGCTGCCACTTCTAGAATCTATCTGCAACGTATTTACCTTTAATTTTCATTTTATTCCACAGTAAAAAAACAAAAACTCTCTAAAGCAAAAGGGCATGTCTCCGTGGTGCTGTCTTCCTCCTTGATGCGAATGTCACGCCACAGCCCACACTGGTCTTCCCCTGATTTATTCACACCATTTATCCTTCAAGACTATGTTCAAGGTCTACTTCCCTTTACGAAGCTACCTCTGACTTTTCTAACATAAATGCTCTCCCTTCTGTGAATTCCCATGATAATCAGTTCTATGCAGAGGAGTTTTGAAGAATGCTCTGTGTATTGATTCAATTTTCCCACCTTCTGAGACAGTTCTAGGCAGAGTCAGAACTACTTTTTAATTGAATTTTCATCTGTTCACACGACTGGATCAGCGATTGCATTAAAGCAAGTATAATAAGACAATCTTTCTTTGATGATGATCTCAGAACATCAATAAATACTGATTGCCTGGTATGTGCTTTGGTTCTAATCGAGAGCCATAACTCAAATTAAGATTATATCCTCTACAGAGGTCATGACAAATTCTTTAAAAGTGTTTACAACTAACCTCTTGGAAGTACTTTCAAAATGGCAGCGTCAGAACCTCCAAAAATCTATTCATCCATAGAAGCAACAAGAACACTGGCAAAAATTATCAAAACCAACTTTTTCAGAACTTTGGAAGGTAATCAAGCTCTTAAAACAATCTGAGGAGTGTATATACAAGAAAAATGGCTAAATCTCAGTAAGAACAACAAACTTCGTGTTGCTTTAATTTGTCTTATTCCCATCTCCCTTTGCATTAACCATGAAAACAAGCAGCCTCATAACCACAGGAGCTGTAAAGCCATTAGCCTGGCAGCCACTGGAGAAAGCAGAATTAATTTAGAGTTCCTCAAACACCCCACAGAGAACTGCTGCTATTTGACCTGTCTGGTAGCTCCTAAAAGAGCCCCAGTCATAGCTTGTCTTCTACTAACCTCCGAGCCCACTCAGTGAGAAAAGCTCTATCCCCAGGAGATCTGTTGGAAACAATCAACAGCAATTATTTAGCATTGGCTGCCGCCTCAGGCAGCTATCCCAGTCAGGGCAAACTGGATGCAGGTCACAAACTTAAAAGGAAACCTGGGGAATAAGATGTTCACAGGGGGCTATAAAGAGCTCTGACACATTCCTGGGGATTGGGAAGGCCATACACATGCATAGGGCTATATGCATGCATAGAAAAGGCCTGAGAAGGCCCTATTATCTCATCTCTGGCCGATCTTGAGAAGGCTAAGGCAGAGTTGTCAACAATGCTGAGTGCTGAAGGTGTGCAGAGTCCTTCCGCAAAGGGTGGAAGACTTCCTGGTTTAAGATATCAAAGCTGCTAGTTAACTGAGCAGAGGCTTCAGTGGCTTCATACAACAAAGTATATAAACTAGAGAATTAGTTCTGGAAAGTCACTAAACAAACAGTGACAATGACCAATAAATCCTGGGGCTGTGTGGGAAAATCTCATTTCCTGAACTGCCCCATTATATGACTTTACATATCTACTTTCAACAAAAAAAGGACATGCAAAGAAACAGGAAACTATGGCCCATACACATGAAAAAAGCAGTCAATAGAAACTATTCCGGGAAAAGCCCAGATGTGGGACTAACAAGACAAATAGCTTAAATAAGCCATGTTAAATTCTACAGAACTAAAAGAAATTATGTCCACAAAACTAAATTATGAGAACAATGTCTCACCAGAGAACACCAGTAAAGATACAGAAATTATAAAAATTAAGCAAATAGCAAATCTGGAGTTACAAAGTACAAAAATTGAAATAAAAAATTCATTAGAAGGGATTAAGAGCAGACATGAATAGGCAGAAATAAGAATTATTGAACTTAAAGATGTCAACTGAGATTGTCCCATCTGAGAAACAGAAAAAGAAGAAAAATGAACAGAACCACAGAGGCTTGTGACACACTATCAGGTTTACCAACACATGTAGAATAGGGGTCCCAGAAGACAGAAGAAAGGAGCAGAAAGAATATTGAAGAAAATAACAGCCAGAAGATTTCCAAGAAGCTTTTAGAACTCCAAGAAGAATAAACTCAGAGATTCACACCTAGACAAATAATAGTCAAACCACTGAAAAAGATGAAAAAAGGAATGTTTAAAGCAGTTACAGAAAATCATTAATTACATACAAGGGCAATTTCAGTAAGATCAACTGCTGACTTCTCACCAAGTATCATGGAGGCCAGAAAGCAGCTGATGACATTCAAAGTACTGAAAGAAAGTTGACCAAGAATTCTACATCTAGCAAAATTATCTGTTGAAAATTAAGACATTCCCGGGGGGGGGGGGGGAATGAGAAAATTTATTGCAAATCGCCTTACAGAAAACACACAAAAAAGCTCTACAAGCTGAAAGTACCCCAGACAGTAATTGAAATCCACAAGAAAAAGTAAGAGTACTAGTAAAGATAATTATGTAATTACAAATGACAATTTAACAGGTATTTCTTTTTTCTCTTGATTTAAACAGCAATTGCAGGCTGGGTGCAGTGGCTCACGCCTATAATCCCAGCACTCTGGGAGGTCAAGGTGAAAGGAATGCTTGAGCCCAGGAGTTGAAGACAAGCCTGGCACACAGTGAGACCCCATCTCTAAAAAGTAACAAAAAACTAGCCAAGCATGGTGGTATGGGCTTGTAGTCCCAGACACTTGAGAGGCTGAGGCAGAAGGATCCCTTGAGCCCAGGAGTTTGAGAATGCAGTGAGCTGTGACGGTGCCACTGCACTCTAGCCTGGGCAAGAGAGTGAGACTCTATGTACAGGTTGAGTATTCTTTAGCTTGAGACCAGAAGTGTTTTGGATTTCTGATTTTTTTTTTTTTAATTTGGGAATTTATGCATCACTAGTCTGAAAATCCAAAATGTTCCAGTGAGCAATTCCTTTTGAGTGTCAAGCCACTGCTCAAAAAGTTTTGGCTTCTGGAACATTTTGAACTTTAGATTTTCTCATTAGGGATACGCAATATGGAATTATATTGTTGGGCCTATCACATACAGAAATGTAAGGTTTACCAATAACAGCATAATAGGAAGCGGGTGACAGCAAAGCTGTATTACAGTAAGAAAGTAACACTGGATGGTAACTTGAACCCATAGGAACAAATACAGAGAACTAAAAATGGTAAATAACAGGGTTAATATAACAAGTGATATAAATTACACACTTCTCACAGCTTCTTTGAAAAACAAAATTACATAAATAATAACAATGTATCATTGAGAAAAGCTGTCATTAGTACATCTGCCCAGTAAGAAATACTAAAGGGAGTCCTTTATGCTAAAATAGAAGGATACTACATAGGAATTCAAATCCACATTGTTGAAGAAGAGTCAAACTCTAAGAACTCGAAGTGCAGGCTTCCAGGTTACAGGTAGATTTAAGATTTTTCTGATTCGCAACTGGTTGAAAGAGTTATTATCAACAGTAAGCAATACCTGGGTTGTAAGAGGTTGCAGAGACCAAATTTTATCATGCAGACGAAGCCTCCAGGTAGCAGGCTTCAGAGAGGATAGATGGTAAGTGTTTCTTCTTATCAGACTGAAGGTCCATTAACATCCACGTTGATGTTAACGCTGTAGGGTGTAAAGAGGCGTGTTGGACCCCCACTTCCCATCATGGCCTGAACCAGTCTTTCAGGTTAAATTTAGAGGGCCCTGGCCTAGAGAAGGAAGCCCATTTAGATAGTTGGGGAGGGTCTTCAAATTTTATTTTTGGTTTCCAACATGAAGAAATGAGAGTCTGATAAAAATAGCTATATTGGTAATTACGAGACAGTATAAAATCTGTTTTTGTTTTTAACTCTTCTATCTGATTTAAAAGACAACTAATAATAATCACAGATCTGTGCTGATGGACTTATAATATGGAAGATGTATTCTGTATGACAATGACAGCATAAGGAGGCAAGAGGAAACAGAGCTATATTGGAGTAAGGTTTTGGTATACTATTAACATTAAATTGGTATTAATTCAAAGTAGGTCGTTTTAAATTAAGGTGCTAATTATAATCCTAAAGATAACCAACCTAAGAAAATTACTAAAAATATATAGTATAATAAAAAAAGGGATTAAAATGGGACATTATAAAATATTTACTCAACACAAAAGAAGGCAGTAATGAAAAATACAGGAACAAAAGATGTGATGTATAGACAATAAAGAACAAAACGCCAGACATAAATTCTATCTTGTTAGTAACTAAACATAAATGGGATAAACAGTCCAAAGGCAGCAACTGGCAGAATAGATTTAAAAACTTGATTTAACTATATGTTGTCAACAAGAGACATGCTTTAGATTCAAAACACAAGTTGGAATTAAAAGGATGAAAAAAAACCACACCATATAAACAGTAACGAAAGAGAGCTGGTGTGCCTACAGTAACATCAGATGAAACAGACTTTATCAAAAAGTATTATTAGAGATAATTAGTGATATTTTATGATGATAAAAAGCTCAATCCATCAAGAAAATATGACAATTATATACACATCTAACAACAGAGACTATGAATATATGAAGTGGAATGTACCAGAATTGAAGGGAGAAATAGAAAATTCAACAATAAAATTTGAAGACTTTAATACCTCACTTGCAATAATGCGCAGAATCAATAAGTAGAAGATCAATGATGAAATAGCAGACTTCAACGACACTATGAAAAGTAGATATAGCCGGGCGCGGTGGCTCAAGCCTGTAATCCCAGCACTTTGGGAGGCCGAGATGGGTGGATCACGAGGCCAGGAGATCAAGACCATGCTGGCTAACACGGTGAAACCCCGTCTCTACTAAAAAATACAAAAAATTAGCCGGGCGAGGTGGCGGGCGCCTGTGGTCCCAGCTACTCGGGAGGCTGAGGCGGGAGAATGGCGTGAACCCAGGAGGCGGAGCTTGCAGTGAGCTGAGATCCGGCCACTGCACTCCAGCCTGGGCGACAGAGCCAGACTCCGTCTCAAAAAAAAAAAAAAAAAAAAAGAAAAGTAGATATAACAGGTATCTATGGAACACGCCACCCAACAAGAGCAGAATTCTCAAATACATCTGGAACGATCTCCAGAATGGCTCATAAAAAAGCCTCAATAATTTTTTTCTTTTTTCTTTTTTTTTTTTAAGATGGAGTCTCGCTCTGTCGCCCAGCCTGGAGCGCAGTGGCGCCATCTCAGCTCACTGGAACCTCCGCCTCCAGGTTCAAGTGCTTCTCCTATCTCAGCCTCCCGAGTAGCTGGGACTACAGGCGTGAGCCACCACACCTGGCTAATTTTTGTATTTTTAGTAGAGAAGGAGTTTCACCATATTGGCCAGGCTGGTCTTGAACTCCTGACCTCAAGTGATCCACACCCCCCTGGGCCTCCCAAAGTGCTGGGATTACAGGTGTGAGCCACTGTGCCTGGCCAGCCTCAATAAATTTAAACGGACTAAAATCACACAAAGTATGTTCTCCAACTATAATGGAATTAAGACAAAAAACAACAAAAGAAGAAAATTTGGGAAATTCATAAGTATGTGGAAGTTAAATGTCAACATATTCTTAAATAACCAATGACTCAAAAAAAAATCATAAAGGAAACGTAAAAATATTCATCCAATTTCAAGCATTTATCCAAACACAGACAAGAAAGTGCAGGCTGCTCTGACAGATAAGTAAACTTGAAAGAAAAATAATGCTTATCTTGATGAGTTATCATGAGGTTTTTGAGACGGTGTCTCACCTGGTCACCCAGGCTTGATTGTGGTGGCACAGTGACCATCCTGCCTCAGTTTCCCACACAGCTGGGATTACATGCAGGCACCATCAAACCCAGCTAATTTTTAAATTTTTTTTGAAACGATAAGGTCTCACTATGCTGCCAGGGCTGGTATCAAACTCCTGGCCTCAAGTAATCCTCCCACCTCAGCCTCCCAAAGTGCTGGGATTACAGGTGTGAGCTACCACCCCTAGCTTAATGGAGAATCTAATGACAAAGTTTGTTAGATTTGGAAATACTGAAGGTATAGTGTCATTAATTATCATTGATTCTGATTCCCAGCTAGGAACTAACAAATGACTATTCTGTTTCTGGGCACCCAAAACGTCAAATCAAAATTACCAGACTGCAGCATGTGCCCATAAAAACCAACTCAGTGAATTCTTGAGATTTTTTTTTTTGGTAACAAATCATCAGATTGATGCATACGGGAAATATGCAGATACTGGAGTTGAGCTTCAGAAGAGAACTGGAAAAGGTCTCACCCATCTTGGTGAACAGGATGGAAAGACCTGGACTGAGTATGAGGATCATTTAGGTGGATACGTAACTGGGTGTACAACTGTAATCTGGAAGGTTATTTCTAGTAATATGTTAGTGCTATGGACTGCTTGTGTCCCCTCTGTCCCCCAGATTCATATATTAAATCCCTGACCCCTACTGTGCCTGTACTTGAAGATAGGGCCTATGAAGAGATAATAAAGGTTACATGAAGTCCTAAGGGTATGGTTCTTACCCAATAGGACTAGTGTAGGGTTCTTACCCAGCAGGGATAGTGTCAGGCTCTTATCCAACAGGGCTAATGTAAGGCTCTTATCCAACAGGGCTAGTGTAAGGCTCTTACCCAATAGGGTTCGTGTAAGGTTCTCATCCAATAGGGTTAATGTTTTTACAAGAGGAAAAGACACCAGAGCTCTCTCTGTCATGTGAGGACACAGCAAGAAGGCAATTATCTACAAACCAGGAAGAAACCCCTCAAGAGGAACTGCACTGGCCAGCACCCTGATCTTGGACTTCTCAACCTGCACAACTATGAAAAAATACATTTCTGTCCTTTAAGTCACCCAGTCTGTGGTCTTTTGTTAGGGCAACCCTACTGACTAATACAGCTAAGGAGCTATGTCCTTCACAATATTTACTTGGATGCTTAGATATAAAATTCATACTTACCAAATTTAATATGACTATTGACTGAGGTTGATAATAATTTGGATGCAGAACTGAGTGCCAAAAAGAGTCTAACAGTTTGCAAAGAGATCAAACCTAACAGGATGAAATTCAATATAGATAAATATATGATTCCACCCCTGCATACTACAATAAACAAAGGTAGCTAACTTTCATTGAGTGCTTTCTATGCGTAAGATACTCTTCAAAGTCTTTAATTGGTATTATCTCAATTACTTCTCACAATAAGCCAGTGAGTAAATTTTGCTATTATTCCTATTTCTCAGGAGGCTAAGAAACTTGCCCAACATCACATGGCTGGGAGTGGAAGAGCCAGGAAGAGTCCAGGAGGTATGACTCCAGACCAGGCCTCTGGACCACTGCACTCCCACTACCTCTCCAGGCAGGGATGGAGTCACCAGTCAACAGAAGCAGTCCACACAAACAAACCCTGTAAGTTGTAACCGACGGCGAGACCAAACAGTCAATGTGAACAGCAGTGCTGTACTCCTCAAAGTAACACACTCTTAGTATCAACATATTTAATACTGATATAAATCTAGAATATTGGCAAACATAGTCCTGCACTTTCCACTAAGTCACATCAAACACCTTTTGGTAATAGATGAGAGATAATAATTTTGCTCATGAGTATTTTTATTCTTGCGTGAGCATGTGAAGAAGGGCTTTCAAACTCATCTCCACTGGCCTAATTTCCTAGTTCCTTCTTGTACTGGTTGAAATCAACTGCTAGGCAAATTCACTTCACCAGCCTCTTTACCCCTCCACTTTCAGTTATTTTACAATCACAAGCAACTAGATTAAAAGGCAAGTAAAATGTTTTTGTTTAGTTTAGCAACCAAATAGCAGTGATAATAATAACAGAAATTTCATTTCTATTAGGAAAAACATCCCTTCATGGAGTCTGATGAGTTTGCTCTGCCGTACCCTTTCATCAGCTGTGCTGCTGTGAAGTAAGCAGCCATCGCTTGGTCATGCTCACTCTCCACCGCAAACGAATGTCCATAGGCTATCCATGCAGGCCCGTAGGTTTTCTCAAGTGTTGTGGCTTTGCTAAAACAAGAGAGTTAATTTAAGTAATATAATATTCTTTTTTTTTTTTTTTTGAGACGAAGTCTCACTTTGTTGCCCAGGCTGGAGTGCAGTGGCGCCATCTCGGCTCACTGCAGCCTCTGCCTCCCAATATCAAGCAACTCTCCTGCCTCAACCTCCCAAGTAGCTGTGATTACAGGTCGCCACCGTGCCCAGCTAATTTTGTATGTTTAGTAGAGATGGGGTTTCACCATGTTGGTCATGCTGGTCTCGAACTCCTGACCTCAGGTGATCCACCCGCCTCGGCCTCCCAAAATGCTGGGATTACAGGCACCGGTCTATTTATTCTTTTTTATTTTTAGAGACAGAGTCTTGCTCTGTCGCTGGAGGCTGGAATGCAGTGGTATGATCATAGCTCACTGCAGCCTCAAAATCCTGGGCTCAAGTGATCCTCCTGCCTCAGCCTCTTGAGTCACTGGGATTACAGGCATAAGCCACTGTGCCCGGCTAATATTTATTCTTAAATTATTAATTTTATATAAGGAGATGGCCTCAAAAACATTAACATTCATTTAGCAAATAAACAAACTGTCAACATATTAAACACTAATGTAACATCTATGTTGAGTCATTTAAACTAAAACTGTTTAACAGTATAGCAAAATTTTAAGAAATTTTAGGAGAGAGTGTCACAGCTTTTTATGTATGGTAGCAAACCCCATTAGCATTCTAAATAGAACTTACAGATTTTACTTAATCCAGAAACTCCACTATGTAACCTAGTAGATACATCCTCTCATCCTAATAACTTGCAAGATAAATTCATTTATATTTTAAAGACAGGTATACTGAGGCTTGACGGATTAAGCGATATCCTGTAGATGGTGGTGAACAGATGTACCCTGGTTACACGGACTGGACTCATATATATCAGCGAATAACTGTATAATTATACAGTGAACACTGTATAATCAACCCACAAGGAATACAGAGAACATACCACAAAACGTGGAAAACATATGGGGTGATACCTTACTTCCTTGTATTTTAAGTTTTCTTTTATCCAAATGTTTCCTGTTTCATGTAGAGCAGGGGTCCCCAACCCCTGGGCCACGGACTGGTATATCAGTCCCTGGCCTGTTAGGAACCAGGCGGCACAGCAGGAGGTGAGTGGCAGGCAGGTGAGTAAAGCTTCATGTGTCAAGAAAGAACTTGCCATTTGAAAAAAGAAAAAAAAAGCTTAATCTGTATTTACAGCCACTCCCCTTCACTTGCATTTCCGCCTGAGCCTCTGTCAGATCAGAGGCAGCATGAGGTTCTTGTAAGTGCGTAAACACTGAGCTCTGCCTCCTGTCAGATCAGAGGCAGCATGAGGCTCCCCTAAGTGCACAAACCCTACCGTTAATCGCACATGTGAGGGATCTAGGTGGCACACTCCTCATGAGAATCTAATGCCTGATGACCTGTCACTGTCTCCCATCTCTCCCAGATGTGACCATCTAGTTGCAGGAAAACAAGCTTAGGGCTCCCACTGATTCTTCATTATAGTGCGTTGTATAATTATTTCATTACATGTTACAATGTGATAATAACAAAAATAAAGTACACGATAAATGTAATGCACTTGAATCATCACGAAACCAGTGCCCCCACCCCTGATGGGGGGGTGGGCTTCCACAAAACGGTCCCTGGTGCCAAAAAGGTAGGCGACCACTGATAAGAGTCCACCACTGAATTGTACACTAGATTAAAGCAGCATAGCTCAAAAGAACTTTTACAATACTAATCATCTTTCTATGTAGAAGTTCTTCTAAAATGCTAACCATACAACCAACCAGGGAACGTTCTCGTTTCCTCCTAGTACAGGGTACTTTCGTGGCATCAGTTTTTCTAACAATCCTGGTATATGAACATGACATCCCCCCACCCCCCACCCCTTTTTTTTTGAGACAGAGTCTCACTCTGTCAGCCCGGCTGGAGTGCAGTGGTGCAATCTCAGCTCACTACAACCTCCGTCTCCCAGATTCAAGCAATTACTCCTCCCTCAGCCTCCCAAGTAGCTGGGATTATGGGCGCATGCCACCGCACCCAACTAATTTTTGTCTTTTCAGTAGAGACAGACTTTCACCATGTTGGCCGTGTTGGTCTCGAACTCCTGACCTCAGGTAATCCGCCTGTCTTGGCCTCCCAAAGTGCTGGGATTACAGGTGTGAGCCACCATGCCCAGCTGACATCCCCATTTTTAAAGAAGGAGAGTAGGAGAAATTAACTTTCCCAAGGAATTTCAGTTGGTAAGTCACAGAACTTGGATTAGAATTCAAATTTGACTCCAAAGTTTATGCTCTTTCCCTTAGAGATCAATTGTTTTGTTTGCACAGAAGAAATCACAGAAATTAGAACATTTAGAGTTTAAGCAATTAATTCTTCATATACTTGACATTTTTCTAAACTTGAATAATACTGGTTAAATAGCTTCACTAGGCTGCATGACTTTCCTTAAGTTAAAACCACAGCAAATCATTATATGAACCAGTTCACCCTGCTACGAATTCTGTTTTATAGTCACATTTAGTGACCCCAATTTTACGTAAAGTTTTGTGTAATTTCACAACTAATAAAAGAAATCCTAAAACTAGAAGGTTAACAGGATCTCTGCAAGTGAAAAAGAGAAACTTTCAAACTACATTATTCTCCATTGTTTCATATTTATTCTCATTTATTAATTTTTAATTACTATTATTACTTTTTTGAGACAGAGTTTTGCTCTTGTTGCCCAGGCTGCAGTGCAATGGTACAATCTCGGCTCACTGCAACCTCCACTTTCCAGGTTCAAGCGATTTTCCTGTCTCAGCCTCCTGAGTAGCTGGGACGCATATGCCCACTACCACATCTGGCTAATTTTTTGTATTTTTAGTAGAGACAGAGTTTCACCATGTTAGCCAGGCTGGTCTTCAACTCCTGACCTCAGGTGATCTACCTGCGTTGGCCTCCCAAAGTGCTGGCATTACAGGCATGAGCCACCATGCCTGGCCATTTATTCTCATTTATAAATAAAATATATAGGTTCCTTGAAAATAGGGTCTACATCACTGATTTTTTTTTTCTCTCTCTCTCCCCGTGGCATCTTATAAAGAAAAAACCTCTTGAAGAAAACATTTATTCAGCCAGGCATGGTGGCTCATGCCTGTAATCTCAACACTTTGGGAGGCCGAAGCAGGAGGACTGCTTGAGGCCAGGAGTTCAAGACCAGCCTAGGCAACACAGTGAGATTTGTCTCTACTAAAAAAAAAATGTTTAAATCAGTTAGGCATGGTGGTGCCTGTAGTCCCAGCTACTTGGCAGGCTGAGCAAGGGGATCATTTGAGTTCAAGGTGAGCCACTACTGCACCACTGCACTCTAGTCTGGGCAACAGAGTGAGAACCTCTTCACAGAGGGGAGCGGAGGGGAGAAGAAAAAGAAACAGAAAGAAAAGAAAGGAAGAAAAAAAAGAAGAACATTTATTCTTTCACATTGCTCTTAAAGTACTCACTAATTACTACTTGAAAGCTTATGAGCAAGACATCAATTCTGTAGGTTACCTGGAGAGGAAGAAAAGAAATTCATACCTGAGATATCTTCTGGCATGTTCATTTTTATGACCGACCATGAGATAGTAACATCCCACTGCAAACCAAGACACCTAAAAAGTTCAAAATGTACCATAACCAAAGACTGCAATTGGAATATCCAATTGGAATCTGCAACAAATTAGGGTAGACACAGGGTACACTAGATGTTTCTTATCACATATTCTAGTTACGTTAGACATTTCTCTAACACGGTCTACTAAGGTCCAAAAGGAGAAGAGGGCAGACACTCCGTGGCTCTTTCTCAAGGAGACGTCTACAAAAGACAAGGCCCCTGGAGTCCCTGTTTCAAAAACCAGCCTGTGAGTCCTGACCCCCTGCACTGCTCATCTCCTCCAGCGTCCTGACCCCCTGCACTGCTCATCTCCTCCAGCGTCCTGACCCCCTGCACTGCTCATCTCCTCCAGCGTCCTGATCCCCTGCACTGCTCATCTACCCCAGCGTCCTGACCCCCTGCACTGCTCATCTCCTCCAACGTCCTGACCCCCTGCACTGCTCATGTCCCTCAGTGTCCTGACTCCCCTGCACTGCTCATCTCCCAGCGTCCTGACTCCCCTGCACTACTCATCTCCTCCAGCGTCCTGACCCCCTGCACTGCTCATCTACCCCAGCGTCCTGACCCCCTGCACTGCTCATCTCCCCCAGCGTCCTGACCCCCTGCACTGCTCATCTACCCCAGCGTCCTGACCCCCTGCACTACTCATCTCCCCCAGCGTCCTGACTCCCCTGCACTGCTCATCTCCTCCAGCGTCCTGACTCCCTGCACTGCTCATGTCCCTCAGCGTCCTGACCCCCTGCACTGCTCATCTCCCCCAGCGTCCTGACCCCCTGCACTGCTCATCTCCTCCAGCGTCCTGACCCCCTGCACTGCTCATGTCCCTCAGTGTCCTGACTCCCCTGCACTGCTCATCTCCTCCAGCGTCCTGACCCCCTGCACTGCTCATCTCCCGCAGCGTCCTGACTCCCCTGCACTGCTCATCTCCTCCAGCGTCCTGTGTCCTGACCCCCCTGCACTGCTCATCTCCCCCAGCGTCCTGACCCCCTGCACTGCTCATCTCCTCCAGCGTCCTGACTCCCCTGCACTGCTCATCTCCTCCAGCGTCCTGACCCCCTGCACTGCTCATCTCCTCCAGCGTCCTGACTCCCCTACACTGCTCATCTACCCCAGTGTCCTGATCCCCTGCACTGCTCATCTCCCCCAGCGTCCTGACCCTCTGCACTGCTCATCTCCTCCAGCGTCCTGACCCCCTGCACTACTCATCTCCTCCAGCGTCCTGACCCCCTGCACTGCTCATCTCCCTCAGCGTCCAGACTCCCCTGCACTGCTCATCTCCCCCAGCGTCCTGACTCCCCTTGCACTGCTCATCTCCTCCAGCGTCCTGACCCCCTGCACTGCTCATCTCCCCCAGCGTCCAGACTCCCCTGCACTGCTCATCTCCCCCAGCGTCCTGACCCCCTGCACTGCTCATCTCCCTCAGTGTCCTGACTCCCCTGCACTGCTCATCTCCCCCAGCTTGACCCTGGCTCTTCCTTGCTCTCTGACCGCGTTCTGACTATTTAGCTGGTTTTCTCTTGCACTGGTTTCACACTGGGATAGGGTGCAAATTCTTGTCTTGACTGAGTCTTACACCCTGATTCCCAATTTTGTCTTTAAAAATGCAGTCCCTGATTCCATTTTCCATTCCTAGTTCTCCATTCCAATCCACGACAGTTTGGAATCAGTACACAATTCAGTAAGTTGTCTTATACGTGCAATGTGAGAAAGCTACCAAACAATTATCAGCATTTCCTAGGAAAGGGATGCGTGACTGTCACGGTCAGTATTTTATATTGCTAGATGCTAAGTATTTTAAAAGAAGCATGTATAATTTCTATAATCAGAAAAGAGGGTTAAAAACCCTTTTTGCTTTGTTATAATTAAAATATACCTTCATGGGTGGAAAAGTTAATGCTGCTTTGTAAGTACGTTAAACACTAGGAGATTCTGCTGCAACACTTTAATAAAACAGCACTTGCTTGAACTTAAGCTATTGTCTAAACACAAGTTAAGCATTTTCTTTAAGTTCAGGTAAAAAAAAAACGACGACTAAAAGTTGTATTACTTACAGGATTACTAGGATATAAATCCACCAGTTTATGAGAAAGATAGAAAAGTTCTGTTCAGGAAAAAGCAGAAAAAGAACAATTGTTCATATCACATGTGATTTAAGACATGACTTCATTACAACTCTTCACAGTCACAGAATTCTGTTCTTACAGCAAAGTAAGAATTTCATACTTGTCTTTCCTTCTAGATACAAAATTGACTAACTGGAGAGTTAGATGAAGGACACATGGTGCGCAAGGTGGGAACAGACAGCCCCTAAGAAACCACTTCCTGAATACTGCAGAGGATACAGCAAAGCACCTCACTTCTCTCAGAAGCTCATGCCTGTCACACCAAGGGCCTATTATGGACCATCATAACCACCCACAACCAATTTGGTTGAACAAACTTTTATCAGATCAGTGATACTATGTAATCTTGAGAAATGTGTAAATCCTGGCATTTCGAGATGACGCTTCCTACATGCAGACTTGGATTCAGCAGACCAGGGCAGCTGGAGATGCTGCATTTCCAACCAGCTTCCACAAATGCGATGTTGCTGGTCCACAGACCACACTCTGAGCAGCAGGGATTCGGTGAGGGTTTTCCTTCCTGACAGAGCTCACCATTCGGTTTAGAAAAATTTAAGGACAAATGCATCCCCAAACACAGCTAAATGTCAAATGTTAAAAATACGGAAAACACGAGCAAACAATCTGCTCCCCTCCAATTTCTAAGTAGTTATCGACTCTTACCATATCAGATTTCCAATGGAATTTACAAAACAAAAAGGAAAAAAATGGCAGAACTGACACCCAACAATTTAAAGTTAACAAACCTTGAAACATAAATGATATCTGAGAAAAGGTAGTAGGAAACAGCGATAAAGAACTAATTGTTCTGATGGGAAAACAAAATTGGCCATTTGCTACTTTCCTAAACATTTCCTCCCCAGTTGTTACTCTTATAGTAGGGTTCCATTATGTTACCTGCAATCTCAACTATCCAGAATTTCAGAGATAAAATTGCAAGTTACAGAAAAAAATTGTTTTATGTCTAAGAATTACTTTAATTTATAAAAAATCTTACCATTGGCTTTATTCAGCTCTACAAGCGTCCCTATATGTACAGGTAAACAACTCGCATGGAAAGGATCTTTCTCCATTACTCTGAAAGTTAAAAAGCAACACATTACTACCCCCAAAACAGTAGGTGACAGCACTCATGAGGATCAGCTATGTGCAGTCATCACAGCATCACGTATGATGCTGGGGGTTATAACACTGCACTTTCTTCACTCCATTATCTTCAGGTTGATTAAGTTAAGGCCACAATTAAGTGACAAATTAAAGAAAAAATTCTGGTTTGTTTGAAAGGAATAAAAACAAACATTATCACAAACATTTACTTTAAGTCAACAGAATTATAATTTATAAAATAAGTAGGCCGATTATTTAAAAGAATCAAAACCAATAGGAAATACCATTAGGTTGGTGCAAAAATAATTGCAGTCTTACCATTACGTCCAATGGCAAAACCTGCAATTACTTTTGCACCAACCTAATAAATAGGTTACGTGTTTTGTCAATTAAAATTTTTGTAATTTCAAGGATTTAAAACCCAACCAAGATCTACAAAAAACAGTATATGTCATTTAGCTAAAGTTTAAATTATGCACACTGGAAAACTGATGCGTGTGGGAGATGGCTTAGCTACCGAGTGCAGCATATTGAACACCCAACATCCACAGCTGGGTCAGTCTCTAATTGAAAATGAATTTTACAAAACAATGTGCCAAAATGGTATTTTCAAACTTGCAAATTATCAAGATCAGTAAGAGCAACGTGTATATCCCTCCCAAGTTAATGTCATAAATCTACAAATATGCATAAACTCATGTCTGCAAACTGCTCTTTTAAGACAGCACCCTGTTCTGCGCTCTACAAACGGTAAAGGTAACTTAAATTATCATCTAGTTCAGGATGATTCAGAGAGCACGTCCATGAATCACTTAAGTAAGATGGAGTGAACTCCATGTTCCTACAGAAAAACTGATGGATATACTTACACCGAAGTAAGTTTGTAGCACATTTTAAAATCACAGTTATAATAATGTCTCTCAGCTAAAGACACTACCACATCCAGATTCTCTTGCAAGCCATTTACAGACTCAGGGATGACCGTTTCACTAGGCTTATTATACTGAAACACAGAGAAATGTAAACATAAACGCAATGAGCAAAAACAAAATAAAATGCGATTCAATTTGTGTTTGACCCAAGTGGTTAAAACATTTACAAGAACAAATGTGAGCCTCTGAAAACTTATAACTTTAGGTTTTATAAGTACTCCTCTCAGTAAGTTTTACTCCCTTCTCAATTTTATCACAGAATTCCATAGTGGGATGTATTTCTCAAAGTAAACATTTAGGAAGCATAACAAAAAAAATCTTCATTTTCATGCAACACCATTCCATTTACTTGGTAATTCAATCTTTTAGTATAAGGAGTCTTTCAGAGGAAGACAGGTATTTTTGGAAGTGTTTTTTTGGAATCTTATGTATTTTAAATGCTCTATTCTTGAAAATGTGCTAAATTTAAAAAGTTTTAATTTCGAAAATTTAATACAAGACTAGATGCCAAATTTAATGGAATACGATATTTACATAAAGCAAATGCTAACTCTTTGGTTTTACTTACTTTTTTCAATTTGTTCTCAAATAGAAAACGCAGCAATTCCTGTTCTTCATTACCCAGCTTGCTAAGAGGTAGTGATTCAAGAAGTTCTTTTTCTTAAAAATGGTAAGAAAAAAAAGAATATCCTCATAATATTTATAGAGGGAAAAAAGCCAACAACTAAAAATATTATTCTATAGTTCTTGGTCTAAGTAAATCAAACTCAAAAGAGAACATAAGAAGATCAAAATGTGCTACAGAAGCTGATACAGCAGTTCCAGGCCTGAAGATGGGAATCATCTGGTAGGTGGAGGCCACTTTTCTAGGGCTGAGGCCAGGTCCCAGGTGGCTCCTGTCACCTAAGAACCACCAGTCTCTGCACTCCTGACGCTGCGGGGATCTTGCTCTGCTGGGGACGGGGGAGCCCGTGCACTGCAGGTGCTAAGCAGGACCTCTGGCCGCCAGCCGCTAGATAGCAGCAGCAACCTCTCAGCCTCCCTCCCTGACCCTCAGCTGTGACAAACAATGTCTCCAGACATTGCCAAATGTTCCTGGGGGGTTGGGGGGTGGCAAAATCACCCTGGTTGGCTGAGAACCCCTGCACTAGGCTAAAATACGCTAGAATCCCATTAATTCAACCACTCTATTTTCTGTTTCCCTTCTTTACCCACCTCACATTACTGCCAACATACTTGGGACTGTGATTCTCAGTGCCTGTGGTACATCAGGATCACCTGGGAGCTTTAAACCATCTGACAGGATCTCACCCCGAGACTCCCACTCAACTGCTCTGGAGTTGGGAACTGGACATGGACGTTTCTCAATTTTCCCAAGGATTTAAAGAGCAACACGGTTGAGAATCACTGAATGAGATACTGAAATCCTGGTTTATACTATCTCAATCACTTCTCAAAAAGATGGTCTCTTCCTATTACAATCCCTGGATTCGGACAGCACAAGGCACCGTACAATACTGCATTCTGCAATGTGCTTTACATTTGAAGACTAAGAAAGTCAGTAGGTCTATTTAAACCCGTACGTGGCCTGCTGTTGACTTAGAAGATTTCAGAGGCAAAAAATCCAAACAATATTAATTTTGCTAAACATAAAACACCTGAGTTTCCAAACCTTCTTGTGCTGTCAACATGTGGTGTGATGTTAGAAGATCAAATGCTTCAAAACAGTAGACATCAAGCTTCAAAGCTTCTTTGTAGCTGTAGGTAGCCAGAGTTCGGTTATCCAGAGCATCATAGATTTTCCCACGTAGAAGACAAATAGAACTCTTTATCTGTTGGAAAAATAATGAGTCGCATATTAAGTCAGAATTTTTAAACTTAACTTTTTTTTTTTCCTTAGAGGCAGAGTCTCACTCTGTCTCCCAGGCTGGAGTTCAGGGGTGCGATCATAGCTCACTGCAGCCTTGAACTGCTTTGATCTCAAGTGACCCTCCTACCTCAGCCTCCTGAGTAGCTAGGATTACAGGTGAACACCACCATGAACAGCTAATTCCTAAAATTTTTTGTACAGACAATCTTGCTGTGTTGCCTAGGCTGCTCTCAAACTCCTGGCCTCAAGTGATCCTCCCACTTTGGCCTCCCGAAGTGCTGAGATTACAGGCATGAGTCACCATGCCTGGCCCTTAAACTTAATTTTTGATAGAGAATTGTGTCTTAGAATACTGAGAAGTTTTTATTGCATTTAAAGGGATTTAAACACACACACATATACACACACAAAAAAAACAGCAAAGTTTCTTCAATTCACCTTCCCTGGGCTCTAACCGCTCTGTTCCAACACATCTTTATAACAAAAGTCCATGTCACAGCTACTAGGTTCATTACCTGTTCTGTCCAAAACAGTGCAATGATTTAGAGATGGCAAACAGAGTGTGTATGCATGTGTATAAAACTCCAAGATTGACAGTGTGATAGGTAGACACCCCTCAAAAGGATCTTCATGAGCAGAAACTGGCAGCAATGCAGCACAGTGGTCAGAGCAGTCAGCATAATGGCCTGCTGGGGCAGGACAGACCCGAGTTCAAACCCCAGCTCTGCCACTTGTAACCTTGGACAAGTGATTGAACCTCTCTTGGCCTCCATTTCCTTTCCTCATCTGTAAAAGGGTAAAAACACTAACTTATAGAACTCTGAGGTCTAGAGATGCTACCCTCTCTGTGGTGCTAGCACACGGTAAGGTGTTCAATGGCCATCTCACGACTACCATAAACAAGAAGATATGGAAATCTGATGCACATTCTAGACTCTGGACCTCAAACACATAACTGAATTGAAAGATGATCCAGCAACAGGCAGCTAAAATCATTAAGGATATGAAGAAGATTCGTAAAGTAAAATTTTAGAAAAAATAATGAATTATGAGAGTCTTCAAGATAAGCAATATCCTAGGACTTGCTTTTTTTAAAAATATAATTTCACAAAATCGATAACAATCATTACAAATAAATCACACATTTCGTGGCAGGTAAGTTAATGGATAAGAGGTCCTAAAATAATGACTGTACCAGACACTCTCATAAATGCATTTCTTAGCAGAAGAATGTGCTTCCCAACACATAAATTAATGAGTGGCCAGAAAAAAAACAGACCAAAAAAAAAACCTAGAATGCGTAATATTCTTTTATGCTTAAAAATAACTATCTAAGGTGAAAAGTAGACGAATAAAGTTCTACCAAAAATATAAAGAATAAATGGGCCAGGTGCGGTGGCTCATGCCTGTAATCCCAACACTTTGGGAAACTAAGGCAGGAGGATCACCTGAGCCCAGGAGTTTGAGACCAGCCTGGGCAACACAGTGAGACCCTGTCTCTACAAAACATTTTTAAAAAAATTAGCTGACTGTGGTTGCATGTGCTTGTAGTCCCAGCTACTCGGAAGGCTGATGTGGGAGAATCACTTGAGCTTGGGAGGTTGAGGCTGCGGTGAGCTGTGACTGTGCCACTGCACTCCAGCCTGGGCAACAAAGCAAAGACCCCGTCTTAATTAAGGAAAAAAAAAAAAGATGTAGGAAAAAAGATAAATTGGTAGGTAGGTCAGATAAGGCTTACAGGGATTCTTTCTGAATAATAAAAATATTATAAAATTGACCATGGTGAGGTTTGCAAAGCCCTGTGAATATACTAAAAGGAATCAAACTATACAGTTTAAATGGGTGAACTGCATGGCATATGAATTAAACCTCAATAAGTTTTTTTATTTTTTAAAATCCAGATTAGTGATCTATAAATGTCACTTAATAAGTTATTATACAATTTCTGCCAGCAAGGAATGTGCAATTTCATGGAGATATGAAGTATACAAACTGAAATACACAAAATTACATAGCAATGTACTTTGAAGCAAACAGGAACACAAAACCATTTCCTGGAAAGAAACAATGTAAGCTAATCGAAGTTTCTTGGTGTAGGTCCAAAACACTGTTGAAACACAGAAAGAAGGAGAAAAATTATTCCACTTTTAGGGAGTAGCTTAAGACATCGGAGAAGGAAGATTTCAAGCCAGCCTATTTTGGATGCAGGCATCTGCAGATACAATTACAGCTTCCAACTGAGGGCTCAGAAATGTCTCAGAATCTTTTTTGGTTTTGGTGGGCAAATTAAACAAATTGACAACCACAATTATTTTAATATAGTAACACTCCGGTAAAAGAAGATACTGTATTTCTACCACGTAATGGGGGCAATTCTCGCTGCCGTTACTGAGGTGTGCTAACAGTACTACTTACTGAAGACTGTGACATTTCCCAGTCACTGGAGGGATCTTTGAAGCCACTTTCATCCTTCAAGTATTTTTCAAATAATCTTTTGTTGATTGGCTCTTCCATATCAAGAATATCAAGGGCCTGCTGGTGCTCTTTTGCAGCATACTATGGGGAAAACAGAAATGCCACTCATCACCCACAATTTCTAACACTAAACATATGATCCAGATTTTTAAAGGATAATATATATTATATCCATTACTTAAATATAAAATGTCTAAAGTAGAATTTTCTTCATGCATGTCAGCTTTTAGTAAATGAAGAATCAGTATTTTACAGCAAACAATACTAAGGAAAAGAACACTTCCTCGTGAAATACTTTACTAACCTGCTAAGCTACATCACTAAAATTCTCACACATATATAAGGGATGCATAACACTCATTTCATTCAACCAAATAAAAATGAAATTGTGAGCATACTTACATGGCACCTAGCTGCAAGGTAACGACATGCTTCATACAACTAGGAAAGAAATTAATTTGTTTAAATAGTGGTCAAAATAATACGTATTTTCACTTTCAAAGCAAGCCATAAGCATAAAATAGAGCTAATTTCATAATTTCTCATTTTACTCTTGCAGTTAAAAAAATAAAATTCCAGTCTTGTTAAACCATATTTATTATGAACCTACTGTTTACTAGGCACCAAGGATTCAAAAAGGCCCTGCCCCAGGAGGTTACGGTAGGGAAGACATGAACTAAGCACAACAGGTAAGCATGACGAAAGGGGGTCACAGAAAGCACCAGCCAGGTGGAGAAGGAAACATCTGCAGGAGAGCAAGTGAGGCAGTGAGTAAGTGGTCAGAGGAGTGGAGCGCTGGGCAGCACTTCAAGCACTGAGTGTGAATAACTGCTGGGTGTCCAAGGAGCTCACAGCAGCCCCACGTGACTGGAGCACGTGCTCCAGGTATTGATGGTGGTGGATTAGACGCAGACTGGAGAGAAATCATGGAGGGCCTCACAGACCTACTGATGCATCTGACTTTATCCTGTAGGTAATGGGAAGTCACTGAATGACCTTGTGGGAATATAATCACATCTGTGTTTTAGGAAGACTACTCACCCCTGTAACAGTTCACAAGATGAACTGGACACAGGGAAGGTGAGCAGAGAAAAACTGTTACTGTGGAAAAGAGACAAGAAGAGAGGCTGTAACAGAACAGACAAAGAATCAAAGGCCTGACACGTATGAGTGGGGAGGAAAAGGAATATGCATGATTTCACAGCTGTTTAGAAAACAGTCTTCAGAATTTAGACTAGACGGGAGATGGGGAAAAAGAAGGTGACAGATGAGGTGTAAGACATTTTCCCTTCACATTCGGTAAAAAAAAATTGGGCCTACTGTGATGAGTCACATCTATAATCCCAGCACTTTGGGAGACCAAGGCAGGAGGACTGCTTGAGACCAGGAGTTCAAGACTAGCCTGGGCAACATAGTGAGGCCCCGTCTCTACCAAAAAAATTTTAAAATTAGCTGGGTGTAGTGGCATGCACCTGTAGTCCCAGCTACTAGGGAGGCTGAGGCAGAAGGATCACTCGAACCCAGGAGTCTGAGGCTACAGTGAGCCACGATCATCCCACTGCACTCCTGGGTGACACAGAGACCTCAAAAAAACAAAAACAAAAACAAAGAAAACTTGCATAAATTTAAATAACTTCAACATAATGGAATATACACCTAAAACACTAATGACTTTTTTTTTTGAGACGGAGTCTCGCTCTGTTGTCCAGGCTGGAGTGCAATGTGTGACCTCAGCTCACTGCAACCTCCACCTCCAAGGTTCAAGTAATTCTCTGCCTCAGCCTCCCGAGTAGCTGGGATTACAGGTGACTGCCACCACGTCCAGCTAATTTTTGTATTTTTAGCGGAGACGGGGTTTCACCATCTTGGTTTTGAACTCTTGACCTTGCGATCCACCCGCCTTGGCTTTCCAAAGTGCTGGGATTACAGGTGTGAGCCACCGCGCTCGACCACTAATGACATTTTTTTCAAGCTCTGAAGAGCTTTACAGTTCATGCCATTACTTACTTTGTCCAGTTTCCGTGACCGGAGTGCATGGGCGGCTCTGTGATATTGTGCTGGGATTACAGGTGTGAACCACCGCGCTCGACCACTAATGACATTTTTTTAAAGCTCTGAAGAGCTTTGAAGTTCATACCATTACTTACTTTGTCCAGTTTCCGTGACCGGAGTGCGTGGGCGGCTCTGTGATACTGTGCTGTCAGGTAAAGACACTGAGCCAGCCAATAGATGTCCTGGGGTTCCTCTGGAGGGAAAAATTCACATAAGTGGTCAGAGGTACAAGGTGAAATAGAAAAAAATTTAAGATTAATCAGAAAAACAATTAGCATTGTCACTTACCATGAGAGAGTGAAGCTACTTTATCTGCCCAAAATAGAGCACTTTGATACTGTTGCTGCATATCAAAAAAAAAAAAAAAGTGGTAACTGCCCTGTTATTTCAACAGTCTTAAACTGGTATCTAATATCATTATAATTCTATGTAATAAATCTACATCTCAAAACAACAATTTGTTACATCTCTATCTTATATCTCACATCGGGTGAATTTTAGTTCAATGTCACAATACAAATATTACTGTAATATCTGTGTATATACAACTCATGAAGACAATTTTTTAAAACTCATACACTGTAAAAATGTATCGCGAAACATACAAGTGAAATGCAAGTGAAACAGCAAAAACTAGTCTAACAATTCTTGTGCTATTTATATAACACTTTCAACGATCTGTTAATGGATCCCAAAGTGAATTTTAGTAGATAGAACACTATACTCAAATACCTTATATAAAACAGTTGCAGTTTTAATAACACTCAAATTTAAAAACACACACACATAAATTAACTAAGCTTCACTGAGCATGGGGAAGAACTCGCCTCCTCCAAGTCTAACAAAAATTAAGGAGCCGACAATGAGAACCAGCCACCCAGTGACCTACGGCTAGCTTTAGTCCCTGTTCTGCTCCTCGGTCCTCAGTCTTCTACAGTCTCCGCCTCAGTTCCCCTGGAGGCAAGCCAGGACCACTGCTGCCAGCCCGAGGCAGGAGGAATGGCAACGGGATGGTTACAAATATGCTCAATACCGGAGTCTCCGTCTGGAAACCAGGCCTGTCATGTTCCTCACTACGATCACAAAACACTGAATTCAGCTGACTTATGGTAAACAAAAACACTGCCCTCCAAATGGACTGCGAACATGTGGCCACGTCATTTAGCACCCAATTCCGAAAATTCTGCATTACCATGGCTTTTCTTTCCCTTCCTTTCCAATTTCCTGAAAGAGCAAGCATTTCAACAAAAAATAAACGACATTATAGATAAAACTGATGCTGCTGATTCTCGAAGACACTTCTTTCCTTAAACACTGTTATTCACTCAAAGGTAGTGCAGGGAACACAGACACAGTTAACGAGAATTTTTAAAGTACTGATTTCCGACAACAGGCTTCTGCACATCTTTATTCACTTAAATTCAGTCCAATAAAAATTACAACTAAACCTCTCAAAAATGTTTTATTCGCTAGCCCTGCAACTTTCCTTCAAAAATTGTCCTTCAACTTGCACTGAGTAGTCGGTGTTTCTTGGGCACCTCCTCCGCGCCAGGCGCAGAACGAGGCTCAGACCCGAGTGAGGCGCCCCCTGCGCTCCGGGGCCTCCACTCCCCGGGCTGTGAAGCGGCAGGGGCCGCTCCCTTCGGGGTAAGGCGGAGACAGCGCTGCTGGTCCCACATGGAGGCCCAGGGCCGGTCCAGTCCTTCCCCACCAAGAGCCCTGACGCAGTCACCCCAGCCCCACGCCACGCGGAAATGGACCCGGCGCGGCCTGCCCGGGCCCCGCACTCCCAGCCCGGGCCCCGCACTCCCAGCCCGGGCCCCGCACTCCCAGCCCGGGCCCCGCACTCCCAGCCCGGGCCCCGCACTCCCAGCCCGGGCCGCCCACCTGGTCGAGGTACTGCCGGACGCGCTTCCGCAGCCGCTCTAGGTTCATGGCCGCGCGGGCCCGGCCTCACGCCGCACCCCGCCGCCCGGCGCGCGCCTCCTGCCCGCTCCGCGCCACGCCCCGTGCCCGTGCCTGTGCCCGCGCCCGCCGCCGCCGCCGCCCCAGAACTCGAAGGCCGCAGAGCCGCACCGCCGCCCAGGCTCTTCCGCTCCAGACAGGCCCCGCCCCGGAATTCCCCAGCAAACGAGTCCCATCTGGCGCGGGAAACCGGCCCTGAGTTGCTGGTTCCGATGCCTCTCCTGGCACGTGGGCTTCTGGCCGCCGTGGGGCGAGAGCGCGGCCTCCCCGGAATCACTGCGGCGCGTCTGGGCATTGGCGAGAGACTCAGGAGGGCTCGGGGCCGGACCACCCACCCGGGCAAAAAGCAGGTGGCTGAGCAATGGAAAGTGGGGCTTTAGCTGAGCCTTCCTTCCCCAGAATGTAGTCAACATTTTAAAAACAAGAGCAACGCACTCTCATTACCAAAAAAAAAAAAAAAAAATGTGTGCACAAACAGCAAAGGAAGTCAAAAGACAACCTAGGAAAAATTGGAAACCTATCACAAAATGCGAATTTCCTTATAACGTAGAGCCAGTATTCCCTTTACATATATGTAATAAGTAAGTGGGAAGAGATCAATGGTTCAGGAGAAGGACAAAAAACAGTTCACAGGGAAAGAAATGCAAATAGATTTTAACACACGAAAGAAAGCAACTTAGGTTGTTTATCAAGAATTTACATTAAAACAACATAAGCTATTGACTGACTATAGATTTTTCTTTGTCTCACAGACTCCAGAAACGTGAAAATAATGGGTGACGCAGCAGTAAGGAACAAAATGCCTTAAACAATTGCCCCTGTGGCATGGGGAGCAGTGACTGAAGTGAGTCTCACACTCACGTCCTGATAAATTTTGCATCCTTCAAATAGTTCAGACTGCTCTGAGCTATTTTTCTTTCCTCAAAACCTTCCATCATTGTATTTCCTCTACCACACTTACTAACTGGTTAAACTGATAGGGCTCACAAATATTGTGTATTACCTCACATGACAAAATGGACTTTGTAAGAGGTGATTAAGTTAAGATGGGTTGTGTGGCTGGGTGTAATGTAATCACAAGAGTTCTTACACATGAAAGTGGGCAGCAGGGGTGAGAGTCAGAGAGACTGGAAGATGCTGCTGCTGGCTTTAAAGATAGCAAGGAAGGAGGAGAAGGAGGGAAGGGAAGGGAGGGGAGGGGAGGGAGAAGGTAGGTAGATGAGCCGGGAGTGCAGGTGGCCTCCAGAAGCTGAGAAAGGCCAGGGACTGGATTCTCACCTAGATGCTCCGGGAGCACAGCACTGCTGATGCCTTGATATCCTGCAGAGACCATTTCAGGTAGTGATCAGACGTTAGCAAACAAAATTAGAGCTCTGCCAAATATGTACATGCCCGAGGCTGGTTTGTCTAACAGAATGTTCTGTTAATTTTCCTCTCCTTACATTCTCTCCCAGTATTTGCCCTTGTTAAAGAAGATAAAATTTCAGGACCCTCTAAATTTACTACAAGGGGGAAGTTAAGCCCTGGAGACTGAGTCACAGAACATGTTTGCAATTCTGCAATACTGAGTTTTGTGAAATTGAGTGTGTAAAAATCTGTGTTTTGTGGTTTTAAAAGATAATTCCTTCCTTAAACTAGTTCCTGAAATATGGTCAGGAAAACAAGACTTGGATTTTCAGTATGACCAGAATATTAAATATGCCAAGTGGTTTCTCAAGAATTTAAATGACTCTGAAAGGAAGAGAGAACAATCACCCTTCTCACTGATTAGTGAGGTGGTATTGTCGCCACACGAGAGCAGTTTACAAAGTTAGAGAATTCTGTTGGCTGAAACTGCAAAATGTTGAGGCTTTGAAAGAGCAAAAGCCACGATTAAGAAGTCAATGATTGGCAAATATGTCTTTGTTGTCATTTTACAAAGAGAGTTCTTGGGTTCAGAATTAACATCTATCCAAACGTCAAATCTCGATCTACCTTGTGTTTCTTCACACCCTGCAGCTGCAGGTCTGCTCCAGTGCTGCCTTGGAGACCTCCAGGTCCACTTGGACCCCACAGACAGGGGCTGTAAGCGTCGCCTGCAGAGTTGGGCAGAGGAAGTTCAGAGCTTCCCCGCCGGGACATGAGCACCCCACTAACACTCTTAAAAAGAAAAACCTGGCCGGGCGCGGTGGCTCAAGCCTGTAATCCCAGCACTTTGGGAGGCCGAGGCGGGCGGATCACAAGGTCAGGAGATCGAGACCATCCTGGTTAACGCGGTGAAACCCCGTCTCTATTAAAAATACAAAAAACTAGCCGGGCGAGGTGGCGGGCGCCTGTAGTCCCAGCTACTCGGGAGGCTGAGGCAGGAGAATGGCGTAAACCCAGGAGGCGGAGCTTGCAGTGAGCCGAGATCGCGCCACTGCACTCCAGCCTGGGGGACAGAGCAAGACTCCGTCTCAAAAAAAAAAAAAAGAAAAACCTTCTGGGTTAATACCTTTTTTTTAAATTAACCTCCATCCAGGTAAAAAATGATTGATAAGTAAATGTTTGTTAATTAAAATTGAGGCTTTCTGTTGGCTTAGAAACGTTAAGCTTTGTGGCACTTACTGATGTGGAAAGTAAGACCCAGCGAGGGTAACTTACCTAACCGAGGTCCCAAAGCTGCAACTAAAACCAAGTCCCTGAGCTGACAATGGCCTCTTGGGTGTCGTACCCATTCATGAGTATACCTGGGGTTTTAAGGCAAAAGCAGGCTGTGGGGACACCGAGAACATCAGCCTGGGGTTTGCAGCTTCCCCCCTCTCCCTGCCTCTTCAGAGACGATGCCCTCTGGGTGGCAGTGATCGAGTTCTGCCAGTGTGGGGAAGCTCTGCGGGGTGAAGGGAAGCCTGGAGAGGAATCTGCCAGGCTCCGCGTTGCCAGCATCACCTCCTGAAACTGCAGTAGAAGGACTGGGAGGCTACGAGAAGCAAGCTGAGCCACCCGGACAGAGCATCCTGAGGTGCCGGACACCTTTTCTTCCTAGCATCCTGTCCCACCACCTGCAGGACACAGCAGCACTAGTCATCCTGCACAGGTTCCCTCTGCAGCTTCTCAAAGACTGCTGTCCGCAGACATGGGGCCAGCCCTGCAGACATGAGGGTAACAGCCAATTCAGAAATGTTGTGATCTCTAGCTGGTTATCTGATTATCTTTCTCACTATTAAATTAACTGAATAATGCCCTCATTTTTTGTTAGGTGGATATGAACTTTGTCATGAGCCATGAAAGTGTTCACTGATCTCAATTTTGATGTCAAATTTGGGAAAGCACTTTCTAGTACAAGTTGTTCTTCTGATTGACTCATTCACGCGTGCTTTGGTCTCCTGTGCCAGTGTTCTGCCAGGAGCGGGTGATGGAGTGCAGATTGTGGAGGGCCCTGCGAACACAGGCTTGATGTCTGTGGAGGCCACAGTGGCAGTCCTCAAAGGGATGCCAAAATGGAACTGAAGGATGGGTTGGCCCAGTGGATAGGGGAGGGAGTGGGGGTGGGAGAAGGCCCAGGGCATTCAGGGAATGCAGAGAACCTCGTCTGGCTGGAACGCAGTGACTTAGGGCCCGTAAGATGAATGAGGAAAAGCTCCCTACAGTGATATGTGAAAAAAAACTGCCTCTGGATAATCTACAATGCTTACAGGTGTTGTTCAGTGCCAAAAATATTTTATTAACACACAGTTTGCTTATGCCAAGACGAATTATCATTATCGCCTGAAACATAGTGCTGAGGATAATTTTTTAAAATGACAGCAGTAGTTCACTGAAAAAAGCATGAAATCATCTCATCTGGAGATAGACACACACCACACACACACACCACACACTGGTGCACACCCCCCCACACTACACACCGCACACTAGTCCACACACACCACACGCAATATACCACACACCACATACTAGTACAAACCCAACAGACATACTCCACACAACATACCACACACATACCCCACAGACACATCACACACCACACACTAGTGCACACAACACAGACCACACACACACACTACAGCCCCCCCCGCCCAACGCCACACAGGTAACTATGCTTACGAACTGCTGATTCCAGTGAATGTGGCACTCGGTGATTGGTGACATTCTTCTTGATCAGTCCTCCTTATTCTGGGTTACTTTGTATGTATTGAGAATTAGACATTATTTTGCCACAATTTATGATTTGATGAAAACATGGGGAAAAACATGAGAAAGAGTGATGGGGTGTTGGAATTGTGGGCTCCTTAAATTTTCCCCTCAGCCTCGTAGAAAATGAGAAAATCTCCAAGTGTCTGGTTAATTTGCCCGGGTACTTCAGTCAGCGGCATCTTATTTGTTTTTGAGACAAGATCTCCCTCAGTCACCCAGGCTGGAGTGTGTTGGTGGGATCTCTGCTCACTGCAGCCTAAACCTCCCAGGCTCAAGCAATCCTCCCATCTCAGCCTCCTGAGTAGCTGGGACCATAGGCACCACCACACCCGGCTAGTTTTTGTATGTTTTGTAGAGATAGGGTCTCACTGTGTTGCTTAGGCTGGTCTTGAATTTCCAGACTCAAGCAATCCGCCCCGTCCCCCACCACCCCCCGCCGTCTCAGCCTCCTGAGGTGCTGACAGGTGTGAGCCACTGCTGGCCGCATCTACTTCACAGGACGTCCATTCTGGAGATTGCCGCTAGTGGGCACCATTTCTCCATGAGTCCACGGGCTTTTCTCTAAGGTCCTTGTTAGGCGATGGCTGCTGGCCTGGGGCATTTCATTTTTTGAAAGTCTCTCGCCAGACACCCACTTATGCAGGCGAGGGACTCTGAAAGTTGTCTCGGGGCCCAGATCACAGAATCTGAGGGGCAGTGGGGTTTTACAGATGGATTCCCTAAGGGTTCAGTTTAAGGTGTTCTTTCCATTTCGCCACTGTTCTGAGGGTCAGTACAATTTGTGGTTCCCCTTCCCCAACCTGTGGGTTACATAAAAACTAAATCTGGTCTTTAAAGAACTATTTATTGTCTACGGAGTTTTAGGACATTATAGTTACTGTTGAGGAGAGAAGACAATTAAACAAATACCTGTACAAGAAAAGTCCTAGTTGGTAAATACTGAGAGCTTTACAGCTGCGTGAACAGAATGACATTTCACGAGTGGCTCCAGCCCAGTGTGGCA